ATTAACTCTATTTTGTTTGCATATATTTACATGTAGTTATGTATTTATACATAATCATATTTTATATATGATTACATTGTAAAATATTCAATGGAATGAGTTACTGATGCTGGAATATTTTAAGAGTAAACAAGCATACTCTCAAACAACACAGTATTGCAAGATATATATTCATAAAGAAAGGTAGTGTGATATAGCAAAACACAAACATAAATCCCACATTGGGCTGAAGGTAGGAGACCTAGGTCATGTTTTACTTAGCTTCACCACTAACTAGCTATATAACCATGAAGAAGTCATTTAAGTCCTTAGTCTCAGACTTCTTTCCCTTAAAAAGAAAAGAGGAAAAAAATATTTTATTACTTTTCAACATTAAAATTCTATGACTATTTAGATTCCTCTAGGGATATTTGAATTTTAAAAGGGAACAAATGTTTAATGTGCCCCAATTATCTGGCAAGGGAAAGTGGCTTGGGGGAGCATTGGTTAATGCTGTGGGATGGGAGAGGAATTATTCAGAGGTCTTAAAGAGACTCTTTGCAAGCAGCTGCCTAAACATCTTCGCAAAAGGCTGATCTTAACTACAACTGCCAAGGAGGGCTCCAAGACATGTGGAAATATGTCACCATTCCTATTTACTAGTGAACTTTCAAGATTAGTTGTTAAAATAGCCTGAAGATCATGTCCGAATTAAACTGGGAAACTGCTGTAGGGACAAAATGCTTTCCAGCTTCAAATAAATGTCCATTTCATTTTCTGGAGTATTCAAATACTTTACAAGTTGTTTAACTGTAAGGTTTTTTTTTTTCCTTTTTCTTTTCTTTCTTCTAACGCAGTATGTGGGGTGGTTTCTGGAAGTTGAATGCTGCCATCTGCTGGCTCCTGGACAGCACTCAGCGGGAGCAGGAAAAGTGGCCAGAAACACAAGCAAAAACCTCACATAACTAAGGCATTAGATGCATAAACCAAAAAAGTAACTTAGTTTGTGTTGTTATTTTGCCCACAAATGTGCTTATTTTTTTGATATCAGTAAAACAGGATTATCTCAAAATTTTATAGTATGGAAAAATCAATATGAGAAAATAAAGTTTCCTCCAGCTCCCAAATTCTAAAACATTATTGCATTTTTCCAATCTTTGGGGTGTGTGGGTGTGTGTGTGTGTGTGTGTGTGTGTGTGTGTGTGTGTGTGCATGCTGGGCAAGCAACTTATCACTGAGCCACGCCCTCAACCCACTGCAATGCTCTTTCATTCAAGATTCATTGGGTTTCACTCAACAAATAATTATTGAGAACCTTCTACGTACCAGGCATTTTTTTAGGCACTTGGGATGAAATAGCAAAAGCCTGGGGATGCAGCTAGAGGAATACAACCAGGGATCAAATCATAAAGGGGCCAACCCACACAGAGCACTTTGTAGTTTCCCCTTATTTCAATCCATTTAATATAAGAGAGTTGCAGCTTGAAGGATGGATGGGATTCAGTCAGCAAAGGAAGGAAAGAGATCTCAGAAAGAGAAATCATTAAAGCAAAGGCTAGGGGTATAGCTCAGTGGTGCAACGAATAGCAAGGTGCAATCCTCAGCACCAAAAAATAAGAAACAGAAAGACTGAGATAGGTGAAGCGGGGGCAGACAGGCACTTTAATTTCACTTGATCTGAGATCGAAATTTTAGTTAACACTAAGAAATAGTAGCATATAATATCAGAATTCAGTATACATCACAGTTCTCTGAAATTTTGTTAAAAAACAGATTGCTGGGGCCCACACCCAGAATTTCTGATTCAAGAGGTCTGAGGTGAGGCCCAAGAATGTTCAAGTCCCCAGGTGATGTTGATAATGCTGGCCTGAAGACCACACTTGAAAAATTAATACTACGACTGGTGCCAAATGAGGCAAAAATGTCCTGATTCATTATTCACAAACTGCCAACGGTAAAGTGCTTAACTTTTGGCATTGTCCAAATTGATGGCTTGTGTTCCTATACTTCTAATAATATTCAGGATAGAGAAGAAGAGAGTTCTGAGTTATAACGCTGCTGTTTAATATAGAAAAGAGAACATTTAGAGCTTGGAACATACTGCTGAGTTCATTACCATATGCTGTTTCTTTTTTATCAGCTATGACACATCAGCAAGCAAGACACTGAAAACAATTTCCAAATCATATTCTGTCAATGAGGATGTGAGAAAACAAACCTTTCCTCATAGTGAGGATGTCAAATGGTAACACCTTTCTGCACAGCAATTTATCAATATGTGTAACATTCTAAATGTATATTATCTGATTTTGCAATTTACTTCTAGAAAATTATCATATGGAATGAATTAGGGATGTACTATGAAGATATAAGTACAATACATGGAACCTCATCATAAACATAACTTACAAAAACTCAAACTGTAAACAGCCTGACTGTCCAGCAATGAGGAATTGGATACTGAGGAGAGCACTGCTGTGGAAGAAATCTTAGTGACAAAAAATAAATATGGAGAGAGGTAGATACAACTCTTATTCATGTGTAATTTTCTTTCTTTTTTTCTTTCTTTCTCTTCCTTTTTTTCTCCTCCTCCTCCTCCTCCCTCTCCCTTTCTCCTCCAACCAAAATTATATAGAGAAATAATATTAGATATAAACTAGGCTAGATATTAAAAGAGGGCCCTAGACACTGGTACTAGCACTTGCTAGGAGTCTCCAGCTACACTTACAATTTATAGTCATAAAGTTTTTATTATCGAGTTCAATCCTGGTACAAAAAAAAGAAAATAAAGATTTTATTATCAATCTCACTAGCTATGCCAAAAATGTGTCCTTCAACCTCTTTTAGTATATTCCCATTGTTATTTGAGTATACTTTCAAGTACTTCTTCAATAAAGATTTAGCTTCTTAAATAGGTGTGCCTATAAATTAAAAATGGTGATATAAATACTCTAGTTACATTATTGCTTTTGTGCTATAAACTTTCTGTTATCTGTTTCAGACTTCATATATTTATATTACCTAGAGCCAGTCATTATAAATGTCTTTAGGTCTTCAAAATAGAGCCCTAGAATAAAAACTGTAATGACCCAATGGTCAAAAAAATAGATATCTTTATTTAGTGTATTCATTTGCCATTGTTCTGATTAAAATAAGAGGATATTAGACTTCTTATGACAGAACAGGAAGGAGCCTATATACTCTTTATTTATTTATTTATTTATTTATTTATTTATTTTTGGTACCGGGAATCGAAAGGAGCCTATATACTCTTAAAATTCACCTGTTATATTTGGGGAAGCACCTCAAAACAAATAGAGGTTAATATTAAAGACGAAAGGCTTATGCCAAATGTTGCTGACTTCCACCATTTTTTGATGCCACTATTTATCAATATTTTACTGTTAATTTCTGGCCCTGGCCTGTTTAGAAAGGTTATAAAATAAAGCTCATGTGTAATGGTAATAACTCTGTCCTCTTTTCCAAACTAACAAAAGATTATCATTCATTAAACAGCAAAACCCATCTTTCCTTATCTCCTTTAGATCAGTCAGGATGAGACTTTTGATCCCTGGGTAGGTAGAATCAGCACCCCTCCTCATACAAAGGAGAACAGTTATACAAAGGAGAACACTTGGGCCTTCTGCACTCCCTTAAGAATGAAGGATCAAAGTCTGGGGTGGGGGGATAAAGTAGAAGAGAAAAAACAAAATCAAAAGAAAAGATAGATAGAAAGGAGACAAGGAAATCATAACTTAAAATTGTACTTTTAAAAAGACTATAATTTTCCAGCCTCAGTCAAAGTTATCCAAGGCGATCCATATCAATATTCCCTTGGATAAATTTAGGTTCCTTTCCTTCCAGACCCACCACAGCTGAAATTCCTCAGGAATAGTCCATGAATTGGCTTAATTGAGAAAGTAAAGAGCAAAAACTTGATCCAAAGATAAAGGAACAGGTTGAGAGAATACAAAGAATGTTTAAATTAACTGTTAAAAAAAAAACTGGACCCATACCTAGAAAATGAGCAACTACCCTTCCAGGGGGTGGACCACCTTTTCCTGGAGTTTCCACCCCCTCAAGAGAAATGATATGAATAATAATGTTCCTTGTTCCAGGAAATAGCACCTCTCTCCTGAGTTCCCACACTTTCTTTGTGTATCTTTTAATTTCTGCCTAATAAAACCCTTCCCATGCCACTTACTGACTAGTCCTGAAAATCTTTTTTAGCAACAAGAGTCAGTGAACCTGCAAACTTATTCTACAAAAAGGGTGGGTTAGGTTCCTTATTTCGGCTTCAGGAACCTCTCAGACCCCACCTGGTGACAGCACTGCCAAACAAACAAAAAATCATTTCATACAAATGACATCAGGATACATGGAACACATTATCTTCCTCTCCCTTCAAGATTAGGATTTTGCAGGGCTGGGGATTTAGTTCAGTGGCGCTGGGCCTGCCTTGCAAGTGCAAGATCCTGAGTTCGATCCCTGGTACCAAAAAGAAAGAAAGAAAGAAAGGTAAAAAAAAAAAAAAAGATTAAGACTTTGCAGCAAAGTCCACAGACCTTAAATCAAACTGACAGTCATTTTGCCTCTCAGCACAGTGTTACGAGTCTTTACAGTTTTGGTTTAGAAATGAGTGCCAGACTAGACTCCAAGTTTTCCTCTATCTCTATATTACATTTTCCTTGTATAAGTAACTATTAAATGTGAGTACAGAATTTATTAAATTAGGTTAGAAAATACCAGTCTTCCATGCAAGTGCCAGATAATGACAAACTCACCATTTTCAGTGCACTCCAACAACAGGCTTAGCTGGACACAGGAATTGAGCTCCAAATTACACTTTGGTAATTTGTCTGTAGCAGGATCTCTATTACTTTGAGCCGCAAGTATCAATGGATGGAAAAGAATCACATTTATATTCAAGCTTTATTTGTTTCACTTGTTCACAAAAAAATGACAGAGAAATTTTAAATTCTTATAAATCCATCTCAAAAGTAAAGCTACAGATTCCTATAAAAATGTAAAAGCTAGCACACAAATGTAAAATTTTAATAGCCAAAGATTAGAAGTCAAAGTTACAGACTGACTTGTGGCATAGATAAAAGATACTTATCAACTACTTTGTTATACTGATAAAATGGAGGCTTCTTAGGAGTCATGCAGGTTTTAGGCCAATAAAATCAAAGAAACAAATTCTCTAACATTGAAAAGACATTTAGTTTTGAAAAAGCTATTTTCCTAACATCTGTCATTTGAAATCATTTCCATTGTTGCTTTCTTTCCTATTATTTTATGCAAACAAAGCTAAACATTTATTTAATTGCTTAATTTTGGCAGATTACATTAAAACTTACATAGAGAAAAATACTTTAACAAGAACAGTAAGAGAGTAACTATTGAAAGAACAAGCATATGCTCTTGAACATAATTCACTAGGAAAGAACATTCTGGTCTTCAGTTGTTGAGGAAAACTCTTGGTTTTCTCATAGCTTCCAGTTTAGAGAATCTGTCGTTGAGCGAAAGCTTAGTCTGTTAAGGAGATAAAAACATTACTTCGGGAAGTTATCAAACTTACAAAAGACTCATGAAATCTGGTTACTAAAAAGACATGGGATAGTTGGAAAAGACTCTGAAGGAGAGGCTGAAGCCTCTGTCAGCTTGAAAAAACTGCACAGAGTGTTTTTCTGTGACCTTAAAAGCATGAGTACTTTGCCTGATTGCAGGTGTACTACTGAGGCCACCTCTTGGTTCTTACAGGCTAAATGGTGGAATCAATTTAATAAGCCAGACACTGAGTTTTATGCCCATAATCCCAGCTACTCAGGATTACAGGTAGGGGGTTCACAAGTTTGAGGCCAGCCTGAACAATTTAGTAAGAACCTGTCTCAAAATAAAATATAACAAAATAAAAATGACAGGGGATGTAGCTCAGGGTTCCCTAGGTTTAATCCTTAGTAACAGGAAAAAAAAACTTTAATGCAGGGAAGAACACATTACCCAGCAGAGTAAGAGGGTAAGGTTCCACAGTGGAATGAGGGTCAGACTTACTTCTATGCAGTGGAGAGCAAATGCCTGAACTATCCCTAGAGGTTTAGTGATCTGTCTTCGGAAGATAATCCTAGGGCCAAGTGGCTTCCAATTGCTGTTACTAGTCTACAACTAGAATACCTCAAAGATTGCCCAAACTTAACTTTCAGTTGAGCCCAGGTTTTAAGACATACCCTTTTCAGGGCTGGGGATTTAGCTTGCTGGTGCCACCTCCTGCCTCGCAAGCGCAAGGTCCAAGTTTGATCCCCAGTATCAAAAAAAAAAAAAGAAAGAAAAAGAAAAGAAAAAGAGATATACCCTTTTCAACACCTCCCCAAAAGCTAAATCAGAAACCAGATTAGTACTGCTCTGAGGCACAGGTAGTCTGTATTTATTAGTATTTATTGCCTAGTTTCCATTTATAGGTTATATACTTTTATGCATAGTACAGTTAATCACAACATGGATGGAACAGTAGACACTGATTAATTCAACCTGTCACTAATTGAAGATTAGCAGAAAATTCTTTCCCTGTGAAAATCTTTAAAAATATATTAGCACACTTTCTTCCTTTAGTATATGGTCTGATAAATAGCTGTCTCCTTGACAAGTGAGAATCACATTGAGGGCTGGGGATGTAGCTCAGTGGTGCCATGCCTGCCTGGTAAGCACAAGGTCCTGAGTTCAATCCCTGGTACTGGAAAAAAAAAGCAAAAAAAGGGCTGGGGATTTAGCTCAATGGAATCGCAACTGCTTGGCAAGTGCAAGGTCCTGAGTTCGATTCCTGGTACCATAAATAAATAAATAAATAAATAAATAAATAAATCACATTGAGCCTTAGGCATCCACATACGTAAATGTATAGGAGCTTGAGCTAAATCCATGTTCAACTTGAAGTTCATTTTGAAAAGGAAGTAATCAGTGAGGTGGTGCAGACCTGTAATCTCAGCTCTCTGGGAGGCTGAGCCAGGAGGGTCTTAAATTCAAGCTCAGCCTAATCAATTTAGTGACTTAGTGAGACTCTGTCTCAAAATTTAAAAAAATGAAAAAGAGCTGGGGATTTAACTCAGAGTGAAGTCCCTGGGTCCAATCCCCAGTGCTGAAAAAAGAAAAAATAATAAAGTAAGTAATCAAGGTTAGTTTATTTGTTAACCTTTGTGTCTTTTACAAAGGAAGAATACAGGCAAGAGATTTCTTGTATATTGAGGATTTCAGGCAGACTCTGGTTAACCACATTTTTTCCTGTACATAATACTCTTATATATACCAAGTAGGTCTAAAATAGACACAAATTCTTTAACATTTAGTGAACAAGCTTATGGTGCAATTCTATTCCATTTACCTTATTTCCCAGTGCTTGATAGTTGAATTTCAAGTATACTCCTTTGGGCTGGTACAGAGAATCCTCCCCAACATTTCTATTCTTTAGAAACAAGATTTTCTCTCCATGGCTCACATATCTGTCAATTAAGCATGATGTTTAGTAAAATGTATATGATAGCCACTAATTAGATGACAACTTTTGGGCCATTCAACTTAACCTGTCTAGGTCTCATTTGTATCAACTGTAAAATGAAGAAGGTATACTCAAGAATCTTCAATAGTCCTTTAGTAGTATGATTTCAAATTTGGAAGCATTTAAGAATCACATGCACATAAAATCTGGGCTGCTTTTTCGTCTGTTTGGTGCTGGGGATTGAACCCAGGGCCTCATTTGTGCTAAGGTTGTGTTCTGTTGTTGATCCAGTCCCTAGCTTTTTTATATCATTACTTCAAAATTCCTAGATGTGTTATTTTACTGTTTAAATGCCAAAGCAGCTTTACTCTGATTTAAGTATGGCTATGTCTATAAGCGCTTTGGAACAAAAGTATCCAGAGCTTCCATACAGAGAGAAAATTGATTTATGATTGCCTTGGGATGGGGTCAAGTGATGAAGGGGAGCGAATGGACAGAATGGGGAGCCATTATTAAGGAGCATGAAGTTTCTTTCGAGAATGGTGAAAATGTTTTAAAATTAGATTATGGTGATAGTTGTAAAACTCTGTTAATATGCCAAAAGCCATTGACACCTTGTAGCTCAGTAGTAGTCCCCCGCCTGGTATGAACGAGGCCCTAGGTTTGACTCTCAGCACTGCAAAAATAAAAAACAAAAGCCACTGAATTGTGAACTTGGTGAACTTTATGGTATAAAACATATATCTGGCTGAACGTGTAACTCAGTGCTAGACTGCTTGCCTAACATGCACAAGCCCTGGGTTCAATCTCCAGCACCACACAAAAATTATTTTTAAAATGTTGTTAATTATATCTTCATAAAATTGTTATCAAAAAAGTAGCTGGAGGTGCTGGAGCTGGAGCTCAGTGGTAGATCATTTGCCTAGTATATGGGAGGCCTGGGTTTGCTCTTCAGAACCATAAATTAAACAAACATTGTAAAAAACAGCTGCAGCCAGGGATTTAGCTCAGTGGTTCTGCCTCCTGCCTCCCAAGCGCAAGGACCAGAGTTCCATCCCCGGTACAAAAAAAAAAATAGGTGCAGCACATAGGTACTTAGAAATTAATATGAAAAGCAGTCTAGTGTTCCATAATTTTCACTCAGTCACATTACAAAGGTATGGTCTCTAAGGGCCTACTGAATGATTGCTAGTGGGTCTGGCTCTTGCTTTATCTTATTATAACAGCTCTTCATGTAAATAAACAGTATAGAAGTTTTTGTTTTTAAATTTTTAATGGTTGGCTAATAGTTGGAAGGAATGTCTATCACCTATAGTCCCACTGTGTCAGAGGCACAGCACAACACAAATACAAAAGCTGTGTAGCTATCTCGATATTCTCAGTTCAGTTGCTGCAGTTAGTGACTTTAAATAAGTATTTTTAAAATTTATTTTTGTTCTGGTTATAAATATTGTTACTACTAAGAAAAAAAAAGGAGAGAGTGCTCTGACTAATTAACCAAATGTTAGTTTCTTTTTGTCCTTCGGGTGCTGAGGATGGAACCCCAGGGCCTCGTGCATGCAAGGGAAGTGTTCTGCCACTGAGTTACATCCCAGCCCTATGATGTTAATTTTTAGTTATAGTTTTTCTTTTCTTTTCTTTGTTTCCTTTAATAATATAAGCCTGGTTTGGCCTAATCTAATCATATGATAAAAGCAGCAGAAGTCAGAATGGTTCAGAATTAGAAGGACGTGACATGCTCTTGTTGGTTTGAAGATAGAGAAGGACACAGGAGCAGGAATTCAAGCTGCCTCTGGAAAAAGAATGGCTTCTGAGTGACAGGCAGCAAAGGAATTGGGTTCTGTCTAACACTAGAATGAGCTTGGAAGCAAATTCTTCCCCAGTGTTTCCGGATAAAAGAGCAGCCTGGCCACCATGTCCATTTCATCTCTTTGAAACTCTAGGTAGAGATCCAGCCAAGTCCATCTGGGCATTTGACCCACAGAAATGTGAGATAAATAAGTGCTGTTTTAAATTGTTTTTTATGGTAATATTAGTCCCTAGCCAGGTGCATTTAGGGACAAACTATACTTAAGGAGTGCGGCAGAGATGATGACTCTTTAAATGACTGTTATGCCTTCAGCCTTTTTGTGGTTGTTCCTTCAGCTAAGACCCTTTGTAGAAACAAGGAACCAGCAAAAACTACCAGGTCACTCTGACTCTTTTTTTTTTTTTTTTTTGTACTGGGGATTGAACTTGGGACCTTGCGCGGCAGGCGGCAGAACCACTGAGCTAAATTCCCGGCCCCAGTCTGACTCTTTTTTTTTTTAAGATCACCTAGAGTAAACCATGCTCCTTATAACACTAAATTCCCCATCTACAGGCATTAGCATCTGTCATTTTTTTGAACATATGATATATGACCTCGAACTAAGGAAGCTCAAAAATGTACCTGCCTCCACAAGGTACAATGCTGTCATTACTTGCTGCAAGTGATACATTTCTCTCTCTTTTATCTCCTGGTTGTGCTTATTGGCTTTTCACTTACTAAGATGTGAACCCATTGTGTTCAGATACAGTAATTTAAACAGCAGCAGAAAATGAATACACTACGCTTTTCAGGAACTGAACCTATTCTGGTAGTTGTGGAGAGACAACATGAAAGAGTAGAAAGCCCGCAGGTTCTGTAGAAACACAAACTCAATTCAGATACTGCTTCTAGCGCTTTATGTTACGTGACATTGGCTTTGGGGAAGTTAAAACAGGGGTATAGCTCAATGGTAGAGGCCCTGGATTTGATCCCCAATGCAGCAGGCAAAACAAAACAAAACCTCTTGAGCTTTAGTTTATCTGTAATACGGAAATGTTTATACTGACTGCACAGGATTGCTGGGGTTAAATTAAATTACAAAAGTAAGAGTACAGTGCTTAGCACACATAATAAGCACTCAGTAAATGTTAGCTATTTTTATTAATCTGCTTCTAGATCCATCATACTTTCAACACTTTTCACAGGTGCCTTTGGTTAGGCCCATTTCAAGAGGATTATAACACCATTTTTCCCTTTTCAGGCTGCATAGATGCTCTTGAAAATGACTGTAGAATACCAGAAGATGCCATCAGAAATATGCCTCTTTTTCATAAAGATTATTCTGAGCTAATTATTTTGAGAAACATGAGACAGGAAAAGCTTTGAAAACAGAGTAGAAGTTACCCTTTTGTAAAAGAAATTTACATCTTTAAGGGAAATCTCCATTTGTAAGACTGTCTCCCTTTCTGCTCTAGGAAGAGAAAGATGAGCACTGAATCCTGCTCTCTTTTACCTTGCTCTTCAGGACTCTCTCCTATACAGGCCTTTCCCCACACCCTCCTTTCTTTGTTTCAGGGAGGATGGTATTTAAGCGTGCAGCCTAACACAATGCTTCAAGACCTACTCTTAAATATTTCCTTGAGCATCTCTCATATACGCAGAAGGTATACATGTTAGTAAACTTGTTTGTATTTCTCTGTCTTCTGTTACGAGGGTTTATCCCCACTAAGAACTAAAAAAGGGTTGAGAACAAATTATTTTTTTCACCCCAACATCATCACTGGGCAAAGACCTCCAGTATTGAAGCAAAAACCATTTGGAATAGTAGTATACACAATTATTAAAAGAGCGAGGAGTTTTTAATCTTAAGAATGAAAATGAGGAAACATCTTGACAGCACTGAATTCTTCAGGATGACAATTCCTGTGTACTTTAAGCAGGAAGGACACAAGAGTACATCAAGACATTTATACTTACCATAGAAAAGTGATGCATGGAACTCTCAAAAATAAAAACAAAACCAATCCAGTTTTAATTAAGAATTTTCTGATTCTGCATTAAGATCTTTTTACAAAAGTTGTTAAAAATTGTTTAAAGTCAGATTCTAAGACCTCCTGCTGAAGGTTACAACTTTTTTCTCATCTTCTCTTAAGTATAACTAAATTAGTTGTAAAGATGTCTATCTGCAATTACCTTGTATAACTTCTTTTGGTTTCATAGGAGTTATACTCATCTTCCAGTGTTATCTAAATGAAAAAAAAATTGAGATAAATCATGCAAAAACCATCTTTACTCAGCACAAAGTGCTTATTGGCTATATTTAAAATTGACTGTACATTTTCAGTGACAATATTCTTTTTGCTTGCTTCTAAGACTCAATTTCTGATTTTTTTCGTCTTAAATCACAAATTCAAGAATACAATGCCAGCAAACAGAGATCAAGAAGTCTAACCATCTCTCATAAAGTGTAAGGAAACTGCAACTCAGACAAGTCAAATGACTTCCCCCAAGGTCTTATTTATTTATTTATTTTTTGGTACCAGAGATCAAACTCGGGACCTTGTGCTTGCAAAGCAAGCCGTGGAACCACTGAGCTAAATCCCCGGCCCTCCCCCAAGGTCTTATACCTAGCAGTGACTCAGAAGAAAAGTCTGTAGGGTATTGATGTGGCCTGGGTCCAAACACTGATTTATGGATGCAGGGAAAAGATCATAGTTGTAGATAAAATTCACAAAGGGTGGCCTCAAAATCTTAATTTATAACAAAGATGAGACCTTGACTGTATTCAAGACAGCTAAGAGAGGTGGAAAACTATTATTCCCAAAATTTAATTTTAGAAAGTGTCACTTCTATGTCAATCAAATATTTCAAGTGAAAGTTAGATATTTTTTCAATAATTAACTTTAATTTTACTCTTGTAATTACTTTGTAAGTGACAACATAAGTTACACCTACATGTGGCCAATGAAACAGACCAAAGCATGATTAAAGCACTTCACTCAAGTGTTAATTGGCCCAGATTATTCCATAACTGAACTGGTTGCAGTGCATCCAATTATATGTAGCTGGTGTTTTGCATAGTACAGCTATTTTTATATAAAGTTCTAGCAATAGTTATATAGTTATCTAAGTGGATTTGGTGATAAGAACTCTACAATTGCCAGGCATTGGGAAGCTGAGACAGGAGGATCAAAAGTTTGAGATCAGCCTGAGCAACTTAGCAAGACCCTGTCTCAACATAAAAAATAAAAAGATAAAGGTATGTAGGTCAATGGTAGAGTGCTTGTCTAGCATGACTGAGTGCCTGGATTCACCCTACAAATAATGTGATAGCAACAAGGAAGTCTATAGAACCAAAAGATTTATAACGTTTACAGTTCAAATATTCTTTTGTTGGAAAGTTCATGTTTAGGTTGGAAACATATATTAGTGTTTTCAGGTAAACATGTTGCTGAAGGCAGCTTTAAATCCAGGGTGGATATGTGCCCAATAGCAATGTCTCCATAAGTTAAATAGAGCTTGCTGTACCCATACTATACTAGCAGTATAGTAAAGTTAACAGTCTTTACTGAGAATGCAACTAAAATGGAAATACAATTTATATGGGAACCAGTGGAAATTATGCCAAATTACCAAGGAGTTTAACTACAGAATAGAGAAGGAAGAGTGGGTGAAATGAGAATAGGAGCCAAAGAAATGGGGAAATGAGGACAGAAATTAGAATAGGAAACTATTGGGGAAAAGGTATTTAGGCTAAAGGTATGTATTCTTTCTTTCTTTTCTTTTCTTTTCTTTTTTTAAATATTTTTATTTGTTTGCAGTGTTGGGGATGGAACCTGGGGCCTTGTGGTTGCTAAGCAGGTGCTCTGCCACTGGACTACACCCCAGGTCAATGTAATTGCTCCTAAAATAAATTGGTTAATGTCATTTCCCTCAGTAAAGTTTTTCAGTAGTTCTACATTGCTTTCAATATGGAATTTGTACTCCAGCATGACACACAGGCACTACATGATAGGGCTCCTGACCCTCCACTACTCCACACTCATCTCTCAATAGTTCTGCCTATGCATTTTATCCTTGAGCTCAGTGATTTTTCAAATTATGTTTTAAAGTGGAAGACTCCCTAATTCTAACACAATCTTATTTTGTATCTCAATATGCAAAATATTTAAAAGCTAATCTTCCTTCATCAGCCTAAGAAGCATCTATCATTTCATAGCCTTAGGACTCTGCAAAGCACAGTTTGAAAACCTTTGCATTGAGGACAAACTCAGCTAACTGTAGCTTACCAAATATGCCAGGCTATCTTTCACTGCTGTGCCTCTGACTAGAATGCCTTTTCAACCTTTTCTGCTTTGCTTACTCTATTCAGCCTGTAGGACTCAACTCAAATACTATATTCTCTAGGAAGTTTTTCCTGACCTTTCTAAATGGTTCAGAATCCCTGCTCCTATGCAGCCATGGTACCTTGAACATACCTCTATCTCAGTGTTTTTTCTTCCTTATGCTGAGGGTGGAACCTAGGGCTAGGCAAGTGCCCTACCACTGAGCCACATCCCTAGCCCCTCTCTATTTCAGTTTTTAAGCTATGTTTTACTTATTCCTGAGAGCAAAGACTTTCTTGAGTACATACTATATTTCAATACCACAATAAGAGCTTAGTAAATGTTGAACAAATAAATAAAATACTACAAAGAAGTGGAAGAAAGGAAAAAGATGATTAATAAAAGGTCACCAAATTTGATAGGGAATAAATATCATTGAGAACAAAATTAGTAGAATGGTAAGGCTAAAGGCAGATTTAAGAAATGAATGGGCAAATAGAAATGCCTATCTGGAAGCTTATTAGGGATTTTGTTTCCAATTAAACAGTACTCATGTTTGCCCCCATATTCCCATGGGAACTTCTCACTACAAACTGGAAATCACTTGAATAATGAACATGTTTTAAATATGAATCATATAAAATGATTAAAATATGAATTTAAAAAATGAATCATAAACATGTCAAAATGTTAAAAATATGAATCATATAAAGTCAATTAAAATATTAGAACTTTAAAAAGTATGCATTTAAAAAGTAATCATATTGGGCCAGGGATTTAGCTCAGTGGTTTCGCCACCTGCTGTGCAAGCGCAAGGACCCGAGTTCGATCTCTGGTACCAAAAAAAAAAATAATAATCATATTGATACAAAAATTTAGTGATTATAATGAATAATTTGATATAATCATAATCATGAAATAAGTTCTATTTATAGAATGCTTACTACAATCCAGTCTTCGTCCTAAGAAGCTTACACATATTTCAATTAATCATCACAGTAATCTAATTTCCATTTCATAGTTAAGAAAACAGACTCAAAGAGACTGTTCCTCAGCTACCATGGTTCCTCACCCCAAGGTTCCTCAGCTACCATGTTTCATCAAATCTAAAACATCATGATTATAATATACACACACTATCATTATAAATAGCACTGAAAAGATATAAAACAATGTCACTTTAACTACGGTATAGCATTGAATGTAAGACATTTCCTGATCTCAGAGAAAGTGAAACCTGAAAAAAACCAAGTGTGTGTTAGAACTGATGAACTGTGGTATTAAGTGGCAGAACTTATTCTTTCCAAGTATGAATCAAAACCCCCTGTCATTAACCACTGCACCATAGTGCTTACATCTCTTTGACATTTCATAGCTCTCCTTCATTCTAATCCTTTCATTTTCAGGTAAAGAAAACTAAGCCTAAAAGAAAGGAAAGTGACTTGCTCAAAGTCATATATACACTTAGTAAGTAGAATAAATAGGAAAGAAAGCCAAATCTCTGCAATTACACTAGGTAGAGAAATACAGGAAAAAGTACCAATTGTGGTCAGGAGTAAGTACTAGGTATTTCATATAGGAGCCACATCTATTCAATAAAAGATTTGATTTAAATGTTTATGTCAAACACAGGTGCTATGTAACTAAAGATGGAAATTTCCAGGACAGTGGGCTAAATTGGGATAATCAATATACTATTCACATCATTTTTTGGTAATGGTATTCATAGATCTTCAGTAAATAATTAATAAAATAAAAACAATGTCCTAGGGATATAATGGTTGCAAAAACATTATTTTAAAATAATACATGTTACTAATATTGTTTGTATCATCTTTTCTCACTTTTGTCCAACATCCATTTAGAACCTAAATAATATAATGGATTACATTAGGATGAGGGGTAATGGAAAGAAAGAGGGAAACTTTTACAAGCAATTGTACTATAAGGCTGGAAACACTTGCCTACTCATGTAGACATGTATGACAAGATATGAGGCTTCTCATACATTGATGTTGGTAAATAGATTTAAAACTTATTAAAGTAATCAAAATAAGTAAATACCAAAACTAATAGAAGAAACAAAATCTGTAAATGGAAAACTTTGTCAAATGAAAAATGATACATAAAACCACAAACATTCTGAGCTATAAAATTGAAAGTGTTGACACTTACCTCTCGATTCATATCCATTGGATCATTTCTTTGAGGCATCCTTTTGTAAAAGAAGTCATTTCCTTTTTTTATTGTAAAATGCCTGATATTAATCATAAAGGGTAAACATTTTAAAAAATCAATGTTTTACTTTGAAAGTAATTATTATTTAAAATATGTGTTAAGCAATATTTTTATTTTATATTTAAAATATAACATTTTTTATGATGAGAACACTAGAAATTAACTTACTAATATTCAAGTGTACAGTATTCAGTTAAGAATGCATTCAGTGGTAAACCACATGCTTAGCATGGGTAAGGCTTGGGTTCAATCTCCGGCAACACACACACATACACACACACACACACACACAAATACACATGCATATGTGTGTGCTATCACATCAGAGACTAGGCTTGAATATATGAATTTCTGGGGGACAGAAATGTTCAGACTATAATAGTCATCTTGCTGACACCGTGTCTAGAAAGCTAAGGTAAGGGGATCGCAAATTCAAGTTCCTCTTGGGCAATTCAGTGAGATCCTGTCTCCAAAATACAAAATAAGAAGCTGGGGATGTAGCTCAATGGCAGAATGCCTTTGGTCCCCAGTACCAGAGAAAGGAAGGAAGGAAGGAAGGAGAAAAATTTAAATTTAATGAGATTAGTGAGATTATATGAACAAAAGTCGGCAGCAAATCATAGCCTCTCCAGGACCTGAAATTGAGACACCTGGAAAGCAGTGAAGAAGAAAAGAGCTCCGAGGATCAAAAGAGATCTGACAGGAATGCTAGAAGAGCACAGAGAAACTGGAGAAACTAAAGATAATACAAGGAAAAGAACAAAGGAGTCTGAAACACTAACCCCAGCTCCCAAGGAGGAGGACCTGACAATGAAAATAAGTTCAGAAAAGGTCAGCAATCCCAGTGATAAACAATGAATGGCAGTACTAGCCCCTAGAAAAGCCCATGGTCATTGTAAGCTGCAAATATAGTGTGAGGTTTCACTCTGAAAGTGACTCCCTCCTCATGGCAAGCTAGCACTGGAAAAGAAATCCACTGCAGCACCCAACATATTTGGGAGTGCTATAATCGGAAGCCATCTTGAGAAAAAGTTTATTATTTAAGACTGAGCTATTCTGGGAATCAGAAGTCACAGAACAACCACACACCAGGGTTTCGGGGGTCATCATACTGCAGTTACTGGGTGGGAGACAGGCACGGGACAGTCATGGAAAGGGGGAGGGCTAGACACAGACTGCCAGAGAAGTTTAAACTGTGGTAAACTCCAGCTGTGGACAACATGGTGGTCTTGCCCTCTGTGGTGAGAAGCCAGACAGGTTTCATGTGGTTTTCCGAGGGGGCTGGGTCTGAAAGAGCTGGGATTAAGTTCAGTGGATTGCTTGGCCCCCATTGCTGCCTGATTTCAGGACAGAACTCAGCGGTCTGTTTGCTTTCTCTATCTGCTAGTATGATCAAGAATATTCCTTGCCTTGAACATCTGCCACATCATGGGATATACAAAGGGGACTCTGGAGCAAAGGCCACAAAGCTAGTTGAGGATAGCAGTGGCTGAGGGCACATAGAATGGCAGGAACACTAAAAGTCACTGGAGTGAATATAGCCCTGAGGCAGACAACACACCACTGATGGGCCCCACCCAGTGGGACAGGCAGGACAGGACTCAGCATTCACAAAGCAAAAAGTGGTCATGGAAACAAAATAGGATCTACTTGTGACTCACTATCCCTCCCTCATATATGGCGGATTCCAATACCACACGCCCTGGAAAGAAACTACTGACTCAAACACTTCAACACAGAAGTTTTTGGATTCATTTCTCTTTTTGTTTGTTTTTAGTTTTTTCTTTTTTTCTTTTTTTGCTTTTGTTCTTATTTTTATCTTCTGGTTTTTTTCTGTTGCTTCTACCTAATTCAGTTTACTTTCTTTCAGTCTTTAACTGAATTTTTTATCTCATTTTTCTCTCCTTGTCTTTCTTTTTCAAATTTTACTCTTTTCCTTCCCTGTTTTTTAAAAAAATTATTACTATTAATCTTTATTAATTTTAACTATTTAGCTCACTCAATGCTATTATTGCTGAATTCTTTTTTATTGTGAATGGTGACATGGTTGCTTGTAGTAGATATTTACTACTGTATGTCAATATTTGGCTTATCTTTATGTCTATATTATTACTTTAGATCTCTTTTCTATTATTAAGGGTGGTATAGTTGTAGCTTTTATTGGGTTTTTTATTGGTTTTTTAAAGTGTGTCAATATGTTTTGTCTTTGACTTTATTACTGTTGTTGATTTCTATTGTTAAATGTGGCATTGTTGTTGCTTTGAATTTTTTTTTTATGGTATGTCAATATCTGGTTTGGTTTTATGTTGTTAACTTTATTTTCTCCTCTCTGAATGGTACTGGGAATCAAGCCCCAAGAAGAAAGTTGGATACTAAAAAGGCCCTCAAACATTATGTTGAATAAGTTGAAGAGGGGTATCAACACCAAAACATAACCAAATCCAAGGATACAACACAGGATAACAGAATTTAATTAAGAGATCTCCACAGTAAGGACAGTTTTTCAACCCTAATTGATCTTCATGTAGCACAAAAACTATACCAACATAAGAAAGAAAGGCAATGAGATGCCTCCAAAAAACCCTTAACTCCCTAAAAGCTGATCTCACAGACACTGAAATAGAGGAAATTACAGGCAAAGAACTCAAAACCAAATGTAGGCATTCATTGTTTAATGACCAAACCCCTTTCCTGCAACTAGGTTAAATGAATCAATCAATAAATGAGAAACTGTATATAGTATGTACATTACAATATTCAGAACAAAGAAATGGTCAAAGGAAACTCTAATTTGATAACTTTTCTTTTATTTGTATAACTCTTACATGCAGTACTGTAATATATAATGAAACATAAAACTATAATACTATACTGTACAGGATAATCAGCAAAAATTACAGTACTGTATAAACAAAGTGTACTATACAAAAAAGACATTGAGGCTTTATAAACAAGATGTACAGAACTGTATATATATATTTATATACATATAGATTTATATATGTGTATATATATATATAAAGATGGGTCATAAGTCTGAGCAGCTCGTCGTAATCTTAACAGGTGCCGTTAAGTACGCTTTGGCTGTAAGTCCAAACAGTTGTTAAACAGGAAGGTCATTAAACAAGGAATATCTGTAGTCAAAACATTTGAAGCAATCAAAAAATAAACATACAAGCAAATTCATCAGATGTTTAGTGAGCTTACAGAGGATTTAAATAAACAGATAAATGATTTAATTAATAAAATGTTCAGCAAGCTTAAAGAAACAAACGATATGCTGATTGAGTTAAATAAGGCAATAGAAGACACCAATGGCCATTTTGGTAAATAATTAGAAATTATAAAAAGAGACCAAGCAAAAACCCAGGATATGAAAAGTTCATTGGAAAGCATGAGTAGCAGATTTGACCAGGATGAAAACAAAGTAATAGAACTTGTATCAGAATTTAAAGACAAGTTTGATGTAATAAATCATGTACTCACAAATATCCTAAAACAAGATACCATGGAATCTGGATTCAACAGTAGCTAGGTGACTCAACAAAACAAAACACCCCTCAGAATTATAGGACCAAAAGAAAAATTAGACAATTCAAAAGGTAAAAAGAAAAAATTACTTACAAACAACAGAAAAATTTCCAAATTTAGGGAACAAATTCAATATTTAATTATAAGAGGCATATGACCACATAATCATATAGCCACAACTAAAAAAAACCCCTTTCCATAAGACATCATAATCAAAATTCCAGAAACTCAAGAGAAAATGAAAATAGTAAAACCTATTAGATAAAAATAGCAAAAACCCTATAAAGGCAAGTGTAACAGAGAAACAGCAGATTCTAACCACAAAATTTGATGGCCAAGAGAAGTTACAGTGAAGAAAATTAATTGTCAATAGATAATGTGAATAGAAAGAAAAGGTCCAAAGGGGAATGGAAAGTGGGAGGGGCAGGGGAAAGGAAAGAAGGGAAAGGAATAAATATGAGAAAAAGAAAGAATGGAAATAAAGTCTTTGTAAATAGGGAGGGGAGGAGGGGTTGAAGGGAGGTCAGGGGAATGGTGAAAAAATAAGAACCAAGATATAGTATGTAAAGGTAGAAATTCCCCATAGTGAATGTCAGTATATCCTATTCCTAAAGTGTACCAATAAAATTAACGAAAAAAGAAAATTGTCAACCCAGACTTCCATATCCTTCAAAATTAGCCTTCAAAATTGCTGAAGACTTTCTCTGACAAAGAAACTCTAAAGAAATACATGACTATTAAACCTACATTGCATAAAACACTTAAGGGAATCCTAGACAGAGAAAGGCCACAAGCAAAAAAATGGCTCAAAGACAAATATATATATATAACTGGGAGAGTAGTTAAACAACAAGAAAATAATAGAGGAATCTGTAGTGGAAAAATAATACAATGATAGGATTCAGTAAATACTTTATAATAATAACTTTCAACATTGATGGTCTTAATCCCCCAATTAACTTCCAGGAAGATGGCAGAGTGGTGAACAGCAGAGAAACAGCCTGTCTTGAGATTTGATGTCCAGATGCTGGAATATACCAATGTGAGGAGGAGAAGGAGGGACGTGTGTCCCTGGGACCCAGCAAGGATCTGAAGCGAGAATTGAAGCCCACATGGAGAGTGACGAGAGAGACTTCAATGAAGAAGGAGGTGGCAAGTGGCATTTTCTCCCTGAGCCCTGACTCAATACGTGGGAAGGGCAGCTCAAACCTGCAGTTTCACAGTGACTACTGGCAACCCTGAGGCCTCCTCTTAGAATCACACTAGTGGAACAGAGCAGTGCAGTGGACTGCAGTGGCTGGTGAGTTATTTGGGTTCAGACGTCCCCCCAGAGAGGGCGATTGGCTGGTAGCCATCTTGGAGAGGGACAGTTGAACTCGAAACTCAGAGCAGCTGTGGGCTGGCTCCATCAAGGTGAGGCAGAACCAAGTTCAAGTTGGCAGGAGGTCAAAGAGCCAAGTTAAAGCCAGAAGGGGGCCAAGTTCAAGT